CTGCCCTCTGCCCTGATGGGCCTATGGTGTGGGCAAGTAGAAAGCCCACAGGTAGGTGAATGCCTGGGACTCTCATAGCACTGATGTATGCCTTTAAACCCAGACCAGTGGCTGTGCTGTGACCAGCCCTGGAACCTTTCTCTGCTCCCTTGGGTTGCTGCTTCATACCCTGACATTGGTGGAGTGGAGTGCTACAGTGCCCCTCCCGTTGACTCTAGATTTAACAATGCAGTATATTCATGGCCAGGCCTGCTCCTGACCCAGCTTCTGTACTGTAGCCAGGGTGTGACATTGGCCAAAGGCTCTTCTGAAGCAGGCCCTGCAGCTTCTGTGGTTTACCCTGGCCTTACAGCTCTGAGCCTGAGCGGTGTGGTGGAATCTGCAGGCTTCACATTCTTCCCTCCAGCTGGAATTCCATTCTTCCCAGGCTGACTCTTTGTCTACTCTAAAGCTCTTCTGGCTTTTCCCTTCACATCCCATCCTGATCTGGATTCCCTTCCTTTTCGGGCCCTCATTCTCTGCAGCTCTTCCTTTGCCTTCCTCACCCTCTGCCTCACTTCACTGTGAATTGCTGAAGGTGAAGTTCTTATTCTGTCAGTGCCTGAGGTATAATAGGCATTCAATCCATGGCTGTAATCCAAGCTCTGGGGAGACTGAGGCAGGAAGATTGTGAGTTCTAGGCCTACCTAGGCTATATGGCAAGACTTTGTCTTAAAAAAAGATGCCCCTACCCCCAAATTGCAGAGTAGACAGAGTGGGCACAGGGTTGATGGTTCGAGGGTGGGATGAATGCAGTTTGATCCTGAGAACTTTCACCTTGCGTTAAATCAAGTCCCTTTCTTGTACTGTTTGTTATAAAGATAGTGTGGTAGTTTCAGTTGTCAACTTGACACAACCTAGAATTACCTGGGAAGAGTTTCAGTGAGGGATTGACTAGCTCAGGTTGACCTGTAGGCATGTTTGTGGGGGATTGTCTTGATTGCATTATTTGAGGTGGGAAGACTGGCCCACAGGGGCACACTATTCTCAGGGGATCCTGGATTGATCAGTAGAGAGGTTGCTGAGCAAGACTGAGCATGCATGCATTCTCTCTCAGCTCTTGACTGTCGAGTTCCTGCCTTGACTTCCCTGCCATGATGGACAATAAACCGTAAGCCAAGTCAACCTTTTTTTCACTAAGTTGCTTTTAATCCAGGTATGTCATCACAGCAGGAGAAATGAAACCAGGACAGACAGTATGGCTTATGTGTTCTCTATTTCACCTTTTTAAAGAAAGGGAAGAAATGAAAGATTAGAAAGTAAGCAAGTAATTTCTGTGAAATTGTGATGGAAAAGCAGCAATACATTGTGAGTTCCTAGCAATGCAAGTCATTCCTAGGATCCTCCACATGTGCTCTTCAGGCTCTTAAGAACCCCTCCATTTTTGCTAGAATATGAGCTTTTGGTTTTAGAAAACTAGGTCTTTCTAAACAGATGCTCAGACCAGAAAGTCACTGGAAATGAGTGTGGTTGCCATATGCTCCATTTTACACCAATTAAGCTCTAGGCTTCTGGGCCATGGCCAGCCGGGGCCCTGAGGGAACCTCAGCTGTCCGGATCTCATAGCTCACTATCTGTATAGTGTTATGCAGTCATTTCAATGACTCAGAGTACTAGAAATCATGTATTAAAATAGAGATTTTATGTTGAGAAAGCTAGTCTGGTTCCTTTTAAATGGATTCTTCTCAGTTATACTAAGGAAGTAGTAGATGGCTACAACTGTGAAGACCACTGGCCCTGTACAAGGAAGGAACAGTCATTTGAATGTCATTTCTAGTGTTTCCTGCTGTATGTGGTTATGTAATAGAGCATATAAGTTACTTCATATAAAACTCTTCTGACGTGCCTGGCCTGAAGTAAGTACTGGATAATACCCTTACTTTTTCCCCATGTGAAGATACCTGTGAAGTAGGGTCTTGTTTTAGAGTTTTACAGATCCTTACTGGAGCTAGGAGTGCTATCTTTAAAGGGTGTGAGGATGTCAGGTTTTCTTTGTTTATTAAAACTCAAAGTAAGGGCTGGAGAGATGGCTCACTGGTTAAGAACACTGGCTATTCTTGCAGAAGACCCAGGTTCGAATCCCAGCACCCACATGGCAGCTAACAATTGTCTGTAACTCCAGTTCCAGGGGATCTGACAGCCTCTTCTGTCCTCTGTGGGTATTGCATGACGTGGGTGTTTACCTACATGCAGGTAATACATGCATGTACATAAAATAGAAATAATAAAAATATATTTAAAAAAAACTCAAGAGTATCAGTTGACGTGTACTCATTGTGCTCTGTAGAGTGAGGGGGGGAGGTGAGGTGAGGGCAGAAGACAAGGAGGGGAATGGGGATGGCAGACTTTGGCATCGTCATCTTGGGATGTGCTTGTCTGCCTTTACAGTGGGCATCTGTGCAGGTGAAGACAGCTTGTGATGTGACAGCATAGGAAGAGTACTGGAGTTTCATTGTTTTGAGTATAGGTCCTTCTTGGTTTCTGATTGTGTTACTCTTGATAAACTCAACCTAAGTTGGAAAATACTGCAAAAGGAAAAGCATTCTATTCACAGAACCTACCTCAGGACACAGACCAGCATCACAGCATGCTGCAGAGTATCATGGTTTCTCCTTGGGACCTTGGGGCTTCTGGGGCTGTAGTCACTGCCCAGCATTGAGAGAGGATCAGGTCACATGGTTGCTAGCCCAGGGAAAAATCCAAGTCCAAATCCCAAATATAGTTTCTCCCAAAGTCTGTTTCTTCTGCATTGTCAGAGTTGCTAAGTGGAGATCTCTGTCTCACTGTTCTGAGGTGTACGTATATGTTCTTGTGGGTATGTGCACATGTGTGCATATGTGTGTAGGTGTGCTTGCCTCTGTGTGTGTGTGTGTGTGTGTGTGTATGTGTGTGTGTAGACCAGAGTGTCATCATCTTTGTCAATTGCTCTCCAACTTATTTTTAAACATATTTTATTTACTGCCAGGTATGGTGGCACATGCCTTTAATCCCAGCACTCGGGAGGTGGAGGCAGGCAGATCTTGGTGAGTTCAAGGCCAGCCTGGTCTACAGAGTGAGTTCCAGGCCAGCTGGGGCTACAGGGAGACGCTATCTCAAAAAGACCCCCCCCAAAAGTATATAAAATATTTATTATTTTTATTTTTTGTGTATAAGTGCACATGTGTTATGCAGTGCCCTTGGAGTTCAGAAGGACGCATCAGATCCCCTGGAACTGGAGTTACAGATGGCTGTTATGGATGGTTGTTAGCTGTTGTATGGGTGCTGGGAATTGAATCTGAGTCCTCTTAAAGAGCAGTCAGTGCTCTTAACCACTGAGCCATCTCTCCAGCCCCATCTACTTTATTTTTTGAGACAAGATTTCTCACTGAAACTGGAACTTATCAGTTTAGCTGGACTGGCTGGCCAATGAGCTTTGGAGATCCACCTGTTCCCTATGCTCCCTCTCCTTGAACAGCTCAAGCTTTCATGCTTACAAAGGAGACGTTACCTGTGCCATCTTCCTAGCCCCCAAGTGATCTTTTGCAGTGCAGATCTTAATGATATACCACACTGTCTTACTCTAAGACTGGCCACTGCCTTGTGTGGTCTCTGTAAGCCAAGAGTGCTAAGGCAAGGGGCATTAGGAGACCTGTCCTAGGTTGCCTGAACAAGTGATCAAAACTGGCTGCTCAGGGCAGTTGGGTTACAATGGATTTTGTTTTCTAAATGAAAGGACAAGAGGGTAGTTGGTGGATAGGTGTGGGGTCAAGCCTAGCACCTGTGGCATTCTAGGTCCGTAGATGAGTCATGTCTGTGCTGCAGTTGCAGAGGTCTACACTAATAACTTGTATGGTCAGCCACTTGCTAATGTCCACCCAGTGCACTCTTGACCACCCATGACTTCTAGTCAGCCCCAGTAGATATTAGCTTCTATAAGAAAGGTATTTTAAGTTGCTGTCAAGCCAAAATGCTAAGTGGCCACCTTATAAAACTTAAGGAAAGTAGTTATATTCATTCTTCATGCATTGTGTGGAAACCACTTTCACCTGCAGTAGAAGGACACCTTTAATATGACAACTTTGGATCTGTTTCTTAGGAAAATTGGGACAGGCTTGATGAGGAAATTTTTTAAAAAATTTTATTTTTATTTTTATGTGTATGCGTGTATTGCCTGATGTAGGTAAGCGCACCCATGTCATGCAATGCCCATGGAGGTCAAAAGAGGCTGTCGGATCCCCTGGGACTGGAGTTAGGACAGTTGTTAGCTGCCATGTGGGTGCTGGGATTCGAACTCAGGTCTTCTGCAAGAACAACCAGTGTTATTAACTGCTGAGCCATCTCTCCAGCCCCATGAGGGAATTTTCTAAAAGTAGAAGGACCACAGTCTCAGGTGAGTGAAGGTGCTGGGTAAAGCCACAGGCCGTGGGACAGTGGTGTGGACCAGGAATTGACTGGTATTAGAGACAAGCCAGGACTCCCTTTTCACCCTAAATTTTCAAGCTGTGGATTTCCACACTTATATCGTAATGGGCTAGCAATTGTTGAGACCACCGTTCTCACCTTTAGTGGGAATACTTGTGGAGAACCACTTGACTGCAGATTTCCTATTACAAGACCTGTTTTGGATAGCTCCAGATGTCCTGTGTTCTGACCAGAGCCGGATGGTACTTGTCATTTTTTATTACTAATTTTTTGAGATTGGGTCTCACTATATATGCAGCCCTGACTGGCCTGGAATTCTCTGTGTAGACCATGCTAGCCTTGAACTCAGAGATCCACCTGTTACTGCCTACCAAATCCTGGTACTAATGGTGTGTGCCACCACACCTGGCCAGTACTTATTGTTTCTGAGACACAATATGCTTTTTCTTTTCTTTCCAGGTGAAAAATTTCTGAGATCATTGTGCATTTCTGAAAAGTAATGTTACTATTATATGGAAACCACAAATGAATATTTTTGTCCCATTTATTTTCTTTTTCAGAGAGTGATGGTCTTCAAAATGAAAACTCTGGAAAATTTTAGGTTCTCTGTAGGAACTACAGAAATCGAAGGACAGAAAATTTTCAAAAGGAAGTTGTTCTGAAAGCATGTTTACAACTAACTCACACTATTGACTGTTCTTTTTTTAAAAATAATAAGATAACTTTGAGAAGATTGTATTTATGGTAAAAGGAAACTGGACTAACGATGAGGCCAAAGACTTTTCCTGCTACAACTTATTCTGGAAATAGCCGGCAGCGATTGCAAGAGATCCGAGAGGGACTGAAGCAACCATCCAAGTCTTCCTCCCAGGGGCTGCCGGTGGGACCAAACAGTGACCCTTCCTTGGATTCCAAAGTCCTGGGGAGCAAGGATGCCACCAGGCAGCAGCAGATGAGAGCTACCGCAAAGTTTGGGCCTTATCAGAAAGCGCTCAGGGAAATCAGATATTCCCTGCTGCCCTTTGCCAACGAGTCAGGCACTCCGAATGCTGCAGAGGTAAACCGGCAGATGCTGCAGGAGTTGGTGAACGCAGGATGTGACCAGGTGGGTCTCGGCCTCCAGCTTTCTGTAGGCATGGGAGCAGTTAGGAGCTTCTTGGACCACAGAGGGGCAGCCAGCATCTCCTAGCATCTCTGTGGAGGATTTGAATTGGTTAATACAAAGTATTGTCAGGCTAAAAACCAAGGCCCTTTTCTGTATCCCTGAACTGTTCTATTTACTCTACCTTCTCTCTAGAAGAATCTTTAGCTGCTTTTTCTTCTTAGGCAAGATCCAGAAGTTTCTGAACTCTCTTGAAGTTGTACCTTATTGTGTGTATGTGCACTGGGCTGGGGATGGAACCCAGGGCCTTGTGCATGCTAAGCATGTGCTTTCCTGTGATCCACCCTCATTCCAGTTGTATTCTTAGACAGCGAGAAGGGCTTTCCTATTTAGCCCTGTCTTTGGGACTTTTTTGGACTTATTCTGTGCTGTTGTTGGGAAGAGACTAACTTCTCTTGATTTTGATTTGTGCATTGTTTTGCTCCCCTTAGGAGTGCTATTAAATGTGTATTCAGTTTTCTATGATTTTACTTAATTTTCTTTAAAAACTTATTCTTTGACAGTTTCATACCTGTATTCTGATTTATTTCATTTATTCACTTATTATTATTGTTACTTTTATAAACAAAGTTTCATAGCCCAAGCCGGCCTTGAACTTCTGATCCTCCTATCTCCACCTGCCTAGTGCTGGGAGTATAGAAATGCACCACCATACCCAGCTATTCTTCCTATTTAAAACATAGTATATGTACTGTTACAGAGATATAACCATGTTTAGAAAACCAGAAATACTAGAAAAAGCTTATAAAAGCATCAAAATATGATGGTGGCACAATCTGCCTTCTCGTTGCTCAGGACTAAAGTCTCCATTAATGGAGCAGGGAACACTTGTTACCTATCAGAATACATCTAGCTGTATATATATATGTGACAGGACCATATAAAGTAGAGCTAGCATCCAACCAGGTATAAATGTAGTTAGTACAATGTAACTAGCAAAAATATAATTATGTTTTGAAATGACTTGTGAAAGCCAGTATTTTATTTCCATCTGCCATCTCAAAAATCAGTTGCATGAAATGGAAATAAGCTGTGTTTTTGCTGCCTTGGAGAAAAGATTTCTTGCTCAAAGCACATCAGGCTGACTTAAAGGCTTCTAGTGTCTTAGAAATAATCTAATTACTGGCATCATAGTCATAGGCAAAGGCTAACCATGTCATCTTTAACTTCAAAAGGGAATCTCAACCCTCTTGTAGATTTTTTTTTTTTTTAAAACCACAGAACTTAGAGAATTGATAGTTCTTAGATGATGTGTTTGTGAAACAAAATCCCACTGTTTATAATGGGCACTTGGGAGTATATCGGGATTAACTGGGGTCTAGCAGTCATTGTTCTGTGAAGACAGTCCTGAGTGAACTACATGGCCTGCTTTAGTAGTCAAACCTGACAGCAGCCATACCACCTTGTGTATTGTGAGAGTATGAAGTTAAATATGCCACCAAGTGTTATCTTCTGACAGAACATGGTGGTTTAAAAGTGGGAAGGGACAGCCCAGCAGAGTGAGACTACAGAGGGGGCTTTCTGGCCAACAGCACATGTTAGGATCAGCTCTTACTGTAAATCAGTTGTAGACAAAAGAGGCAGCCAGAGCCCGGTGTTCTTTGCAGTTATACTGCAGCTGTGAGAGAAAGACAAACCAAGAAACCGAGGTACAGGTGGGATTTCATTAGGGTGAAATCCATTATGATAATTACAGTGCAAGAAACAATGAATCTGATGCTGTTTCTAATATAGTGAAATGTAAGTACAGGAAAGCTAAGACTGATATCAGTAAAGGTCTGAGCCACATCTAATTTATGTTAATTACTAGCAGAAAGGACTCTTTTACCATATTTAATGCACTCCAAATAATTCAGTTTGCTGTCTTGAGTTACTTTAAAACTTAGAACAGCTGAGCCTCCACCCTTACCCTCCAACTCAGACAAGAGTGCATTTGCTTTCAGAAAATTCTGGTAGGAAAGTCATTATGTGAACGCAAACAAAAGGAGGGAAAAGATTGACTGGTGCCTCTGGAATTGTGTCTGTGGGTTAAAGCTGATGATTAGAATTCTAGTGGAATAAGTAAAGAGAATTCTTAACCTCTTCCTCCTTTGTCTCCTACATATGATGCAGTGTTGAGATGCAATTTTGTTCTTTCTCATTTGATTTTTGTTGCTGTCTTTAAACCCTGGGGCTCAAGTGATCCCCCTATCTTGGCCTACTGCACCTGGCTCCACATGTAGTAGTATCGTGCCTTATCGTATTACCTGCACACAAACACATGGATGCGTCTATCTTATTTGGACTATGACTAGTTGAAAATATTTACTTGACTATTTGAAATGGGCATTTTCTTTTTTAATGTTTTATTAGAGTAAAATTTACATCTTAAAATGTGCACAATTAATAAATTTCCAGCCCCATGAATTTTCACATATTAATTATACCTATATAGCAGCATATAGGGGATATTTATAATTAAACCACTTTTTAAAATTAACATTTAAAAAAGTATATTTTATTTATTATTATTCTTACTTATGAGTGTGAGTGTATTGCCTGCATGTATGTAAGTACACCCATGTTATTCAGTGCCCGAAGAGGTCAGAAGAAGGCATTGAATCCCCTAGAACTGGAATTATGAATGGTGTTAGCCACCATGTGAATGCTGGGAATTGAACCTGGATCCTCTGTAAGAGTAGTCAGCATTCTTAACTGCTGAGCCGTCTCTCCAGCCTGATTAAACCATTTAAAATGGAAATATTGGGAAAAAGTGAAAGACTTTAGGCTATTTTCTGTATATTTGCCAAATGGCAGAGTGTGTACATACATATTGTTCATAACTTTTGCAAATAAATGACATGAAGACTTGAAAATTTCTATAGGTAAAAAGAAACTAGATCAATATTTGCAAAGAAGGAGCTGTTCTATTTATTTATTTATTTATTTAGCTTTTGTGCATTTCACACAATAGTTCTTAACCAAATTTAGGCCCCATCTCTCATCCCACATAACCCCCTTCCCCCACTGGACTTTATGCATTCTGTCATACATGTTAAGTCCTATCTGGTCAAGCATTTGTGCCCAGATGTCCTTTGGTGTAAGTTCATCCACTGGCGTCTAAGTCAGCCTATTGAGAGATCTTATGGAAGATCTGCTCTTCCTCACCCAGCAGTAATCAGTTGCCAACAGTTCCCAGGCTAGGGCCACCTTCTGCCTATTTCTCTTGATCCACTCTGGGCCCTTGTCTGATTTGTCATGGGTCTTGTGCTCGATGCCATCATTGCCCAAAGTTCACATGAGCAAGCTTCCAGTGACCTGAAAGCCTCTGTTTTCCTATGTTCATAGACTAACCCTGACTCTTACAGTCTTTCTGCCTCCTCTTCCATAATGGTCCCTGAGCTGTGGGTGGGTGAGGTTTAATATAGGAGTCCTATCCAGGGACAGATACTCTGCAGGCTCTTATTCTTGAAACTTAGCCAGTTGTGGCCTTCTGTGTGCATCATACTCTTGTATGAGAAAGCTTCGCTAGTGAGAGTTGAGGGATGCACAAGTATTTTCTCAGCCCCCCTGTTCCACTATGTTCCATGAGCCCTGGGTGTAGCAGTTCCTCTGTAGATATGTCATGCTGGGTGTCTCTCAGATTGTGGAACTCTGTAATAGCCTCCATCTGCTGTGAAAGAAGCTTCTTTGATGAGTGGTGTATAGTATACTTATCTGTAAATATAAGGATCCATATTTAGCATGTAGTAAGAAATTTCTTTTGTCTAGAGAAAGGACAGAGATAGGGTTTTTTCTAGGATCTGTGACCTCTTGAACCATGTATATTTGGCTATAATTAAAATGCTACCCATGAATTCCCTCCCATTGAGAGGGTCTTAAGTCCAATTAGATAGCTGTTGATAACCCCCAGATAACAGTGCCACTACTGTACCAATAGAGGTAGTTTGCTTTGCCAGTTGTTGTGGTTATTAGACTTTAGAGCGGGGTTGGACCATTGATTGATTTTTTTTTTTTTTTTTCTCCCTTAGCAGCTTGCATAGTATCCTCTAGAACTATGAGAGCTAAACTTCAGGGAGAAGGCTTCCAGGTCAGTTCCAGCTCCATTGTTCCAAGTCCTGTGTCTGACGTATGCCCTGTCTTCAGTAGGGTCTTAGCTTCAAGTTGTGGGAGATAACCAAGGACTCCCACAATAGCCTGTGAAGGAGCTGTTCTTTAAAGATAAATTCAAGGAACTGCTGGGTGTGTGGTGGCACATGCCTTTAATCCCTGCACCTGGGAAGCAGAGGAAGGTGGATCTCTGTAAGTTCAAGACCAGCCTCGTCTACATAGTGAGTTCCAGGTCAGCTGGGGCTACAGGGAGACCCTGTCTCAAAAAGATGGCAAAAAAAAAAGGTAGATTAAAGGAATTAGAAATATATGCATACCATATTTTGTAGTTTGGGATGTTTGTCATTGTCATAATCTCTTAATTTACATGTTTACTGTATTTAATCTCTTATAACACTTAGTTGCACTTTTTCAAATGACTTTATTTTTAGGTTTTCTCTTTCAAAGTTTTAAAAACCATTTGTTTAATTAATGATGTAAATATGGATAACATTTCTCTGTCCCACTGCTGTGTGGGACATGTATTCTCTTCCTAAACTGTGGTGGGTGACAGATGGAGCACCCATGTGGGAGTGAAGGGTGTTGGCTGGACTGATAGGTAGAATACCTGCATGGTGAGCAGTACAGAGTTTGGTGACAGGCAGACCACCTGCATGGAGGTGCTGAAGTGTTGTAAGGCAGAGCACTGACATGACTGGGTGATAGTGCAGAGGTGTTTGTTGAGTGACAGGCAGAGCATCTGCATGCAGTTGCTAGGTTGTTGGTGGTAGATAAAAGTAAGTGATGGATGAATCCAGTTGATTGAGAGAAAGTACCAGGACACAGATAAAACTCCAGCAGAATAGAGTTTATTA